GGTTGGTCTGGGTGAAACCCGTTTGAGTCTGATCAAAGGCATTTGCGACTCGTGTAGAGAATGTCGTGCCTGGGAGAAACCAGGCAACACGGTGATGCCTTCTGTGTCACTGCCAGGACGTTTCAACGAGGAAGTCGAATGTGATCTTTTCTTTTACAAACAGGAACATATTGTCTTTCACATCATCGACCGTTGTATTCGCTGGGCAGCTGGCACAGAGATTCCTGATAAGACTATGCACGCTGTTCTCGATGCCTATCACACAACTTGGATGCAACATGGCCCTGCTAAGATCCTATACTCCGATGGGGAAGGAGCGCTGAATAACGATACAGCAAAGGCCATCCTTAAATCCAAGGGAACAGAGCTTCGTATCCGAGCGCGTGGCCAGCACGCCACGACTATCGAAGCTAGGAACGGCATCCTGCGACACCTCATACACGTGATGGGAGAAGAACTGAATAGATTGAACATCCCTCTGAATTTCACTCGTCTCTTACATGAAGCCTTGTTTGCCAGCAACGCATTTACCTTCTACAACGAAGTGTCTCCGTATAATGCGCTGTATGGCAGACAACCAGCTATGCTTCCCGATTTCCCTGTCCTGGATCATGATCAGTCCGCTGAATCATCAGATCACTCAAAGGAAGAGACAATCAGGAGGGTTAGTCTGGAGGCAATCACGCAGGCCACTGCGGTTGCCAAGACGAACAGGGCTCTCCGTACGAAGACTACTGCTACGGGTGAATTTCACTACAAAGAGGGAGATCTCGTGGACTATCATCGCCCGACCACCACGAAAGACGACTGGGGTGGATGGAGTGGTCCATACCCGGTCATCCGCAACGAACCTGACCGAGGCCAGGTCATCGTGAAGGTCGGCAATCGCGAAGTGCGAGTACAGTATCCTGACTCACGACATACGCTGTACATCGAAGCACTGATGGTCCGCGAGATAGGATCGGACAATACGGCCCTTCGGACAGTATTGGCCTTTATTGCCGGTCTGCCAGCGGGGAAACCCGCTATGACTTTCGGATACCTACCAGCGAAACAGGGCCGACTGCAGATGACTGCTGCGAGCCGGCTTTCGCCTAAGGTGCACTTGGCTCTTCAATATCTCATTCGCAACTATTTTCGCATTGAAAACGTGGTTGCTGTACGACTTGCTAAGAGCCTGACTAAGTTGCCTGCTGCACCATATGCAGACAGCTGTACACTAGTGCACTATGATAACGATGTGACCCCTGGCTTTCATTATTATGAAGCTGATGGCACTGCCTTGAACATCTACGACATCACAGGGTCTACACATTCACGCATCATCCAGTGTCTTAAATCCAAGAAGCCGCTTGCTGGATTCGACCGAGACCTCACTAAGTTTGAGGAACTCGCTGATGGTTCACCACCAAGCGAGCCACCTCCAGCAGCTGCTCCTGAGCAGCCTCCTGCGGCGAATGATGGTCGGCTCCCGACCATCATAGAGGAAACAGAAGAGGATCTGGATGTCTTTGTCTTGGAGTCATGGTATGCTGAACTGATGGATGACAGAACACTCCTTGAAGCTGACACAGAAGAAGTCATGCACACAGTTCCGACATACATGACAGACTCACAGTGCGTGTTGGTCTCTACGACCTGTGAAGATGTGCAAGGCCACTTGCCGGTGCGGGGTCACCCGCCAGGATACGACATGGACACTTCTTACTACGTCCCTCTGTGCTCCACTGATCCGGACAGCCACTATGATCTGGACTCCGACGAGCACGGGAAGTACATCGAGCTTTGCTTCACAGCAGACATGTTCAAAGTCGTCCTGTCCGAGCAGCAACACCGATTGTTGGATGACAGCAGCGTCGCAACTATGCGAGTATATGTTAGTGCTGCCTCCAAACGTGCCGCGGTCGTCAAAGAAGACGACCCACTCACGAAGGCCGACATTCAAGCGAATCCGGTCAAAGTTTCCAAAGCCCTTTACACAGAATTGAGAACTTGGCTTGACAACAAATGCTTCCAGATGACTGACTTGAGCAAAGCGTCGAACATCATGACTTCACGCTATGTATACAAATGGAAGTTTGTCAAGAACGAGAAGGGCGAAATGGAACGGACGATCAGGTTACGCTTGGTACTTCGTGGCTTCATGGACATTGAAGCCTTCGATGTCGAAACCTTCTCTGGCACGGCAAGGAGGTCAAACCAGAGATTGCTCGCAAGTTCTGCTGCATGCAACAAAGCTTGGATCATCGCTTCCCTGGACATCAACATGGCTTTCTTGAAGGGACTGACCTATGGCGAGCTCGCCGCGGCAACTGGCGAGAAAGAGCGTGCGGTGTGCTTCACACTACCTCCTGGGTCAGCAGCTGTCCTTCGCACATTGCCAGGCTTTGAGTCATATGACGAATCAAAGCATTGTCTTCGGTGCCTCAAGCCGGGGACTGGCACGAAGGATGCTCCCAGAGCATTCTCGCTGAAGCTCAGGTCCATCACCAGGAGCTTTGGACTACAGCCTACTTCATACGATGAAGAGTTCGAGATGAGTTCAAACCTCTTGACAGCCAAACACGTTGATGACATCAATATGACTGGGAAGGAAGATTCCATTGACAAGTACGTCAAATGTGTTGAAGATACGTTTGGAAAGTGCAAACTGAACAAGCACACATACACAAATTGTGCCGTTCGGTACAACAAGACCGATGATGGGAGCGTCACTCTTGATCAGGACGAATACATCAAACAACTTCGTCCTATCACACATCCAGAGCTCACAGGCGCTGATCCTGAGAGCAAAGCGACAAAGACGATTTCTGATATGTTCGTCAGTCTTCGTGGCGCTCTAGCCTATGCGTTGATCACGCAGGTATGGCTGATGGTCTATGTTGTTTCACTGCAACGTATCCAGGAACCGACAAACATCCAGGTACGACGACTGAACGCGGTTACCAGGAAATTGCAGGCAGGTCCGAAGAAGATCGTGTATCAAGCTATGACTCCAACAGGAGAGGTCGACCTGCATAGCGATTCTGGCTATCGTCGTCTCAACGGAGATGAAGACGACGAAGTCAAAGGCTACGGTATCCGCGGGGCTAACCTGCTGAGGCGTGGCCACACGCAAGCGGGGAAACCCGTCGTGCACCTGGTGGACGCATACTGCAAGTCTCATCGACTGCAGGTGCGTTCGAGCTACTCTGCGGAAACACTGGCAGCAGCCCACAACTTGGAAGACTGCTACCCGACCATTGTAACGCTCCACGAGCTACACTCGGGACCATTGACCCCCACACAGTTGAAGAACATATTGGAAATGGGTGGTCTATGTATCAAAGTCACTCTGACTATTGATGCCGAGTCTGTCTTCAAGTCTTTGTCTAGCAAAGATCTGAAGAAGCCCACAGAATGTACTCTGCTTGGGCACATCAGCTGGATCCGCCAGATGATGGAGCGCGGAATCGTTGAAAGCGTCCAATGGTGTGACACGCGGGATATGACTGCCGATGGTCATACCAAAGGTAGTATTGACCGCGCGTTGCTCCTACAGGTAATGGCCGGTCAGCAATCCTTCAAGCACGAGCTGAAGAAACATACTCCGTATAGGGCGGGCAGGTCGTCTCAGGACGGCCCTGCCTCCCGAGCTAGCGGGGAAACCCGCACGCAGGTGCGCTTTAGTAGCGAGGAAACTCGCCGGTAGCGAGGCTACTCGCGCGCCCTTGCCTTGTATGCAGCCGCTGTTGCCTAGCACTGTTTTTTTTTCCGCGTAATGTAGAAATTCGGTGCTTGCTCGTCTCCTCCCCCTCCAACTTTAAACGGAGAGGGTTAAAGGCGAGATGTAAATCGAGCATGCACCGCTGCCGTGCCTGGCTCAGGCCGGGCCCGGCCAAACATGTGATTGTGCCTCACTGAGGCGCACTACTTGCATCTGAGATCGGAAAAGACTTTTCTACTGAAGATGCCCCTTCTATCCTTTACTCCAGATCCCATGCTTCATCTTGCTCTCTTGCTCATGCGATATGAGCCAAAGCTTGGGATATGGGAGCGCCTAAGGCGGAACATATATCTTGGCTTACCAGTGCGTTTTCGACTGTCGATGGGGACGGGATGTGACAGGAAGGAACTAAAGGACAACGTGACGGGGTAGGCGGAGGAAGTGTGTGAGGAGGAGGAGGAGGAGGAGGAGGAGGAGGAGGAGGAGGATGAGGAGGGGGAGACAAACGAAAAGGAGATGGAGAAGGTCGCAAAAGACGCTCAGGAGGAGGAGAGGAGGAGGAGTATTCTGACCCGGGACCCCCCCAAGACCCCCCACGGGACCCCCCCCAGGACCCCTCTCGGGACCTCCCCCAGGACCCCTCCCGGGTTTCCCCCGGGGCCCCCCCCCCCGGCCAGGGATGGGAACAAAGGGAAGGGGAAACCCTTCGAGTCAATTTACTTTACGCAGGAGGAAGAGATGAAGGAGGAGGAGGAGGAGGAGGTTACCAGAGGAAGGGGCTATTTTGGTTTAAGCCCTCATGGTTGGGGGGATGCCCGCGCAGAGTCGCGCTGCTCTCCCTTCGCGGCCTTGGCGTGTTGGCTCTGACTGTGTAATATGCTTCCGTATGCCCACCGCAGTGGGCAACGAGGATCGGTCTCCAGTGTGGTGACCTTGTTGCAAGGGCTCCCACGAAAGCGCGAAGTTATTCGCTCTTCGCGGTCCTCGTTCCTTCTCCCCCTCCTTCTCGTCCTCCTTTTCTCCCTTTTGGGTGGGCGGCGCGAGAGCGCGAAGTTTTCGCGGAGCGCGAAGCGCGAAGTTGGGAGCCCTTGTTGTTGAGGCTGGGATGTGTCCATGCGTCATGCCAGTCCCGTGCCGTTGTCATGCACAGTGGTTTCGTTTTCCGCTCGTAGAGTGTGCTGGACGAATATAGCCCCCACGGCAGGGATCTAAGCATGACTGTAGTTTGAGCTGGTTACAGTTGCATCACAGATTGCGCCCTGTCTCAGTTCAAGCCTCGTCTCGCGCAAGCGAG